TATTTTTCTTGGATGCAACTCCTTTTTGGCATCCTTTTCTTCCTTATCCAAACTTCTACATCGTAATTCCAGTCAACCTTTTCCCTAAATTGAAATGCATATTTAAAAAAAGCTAGGACAGACTTGCCATCAGTTTTAATAGACATGCTAAACAAAAACATAGAGTGGTTTGTGGGATATTGATCTTCACTACAGATGAAACTTTTCCTGTCTTCTCATAAAGTGTCTATAGAAGTAAGCGTTGTCCAGATATAAACGTACCTGGTACAGATATAGTGATACAAGATCAGGTCTTGGTAATAAAGCATGTGTAACACATGAGTTTTCTAATGTGCCTTGTTCTAACCTGTTCCTTTTTTTTTTTTCCATAATTGGCGTTACCTTCACTTCTTTGGAAGCTCCTGAAGTACATTAGGATATGCTAGAAATCTGTTCTGTTGTGCTGTATAGGTGCTTTTCTCAAGTTTACATTCGGAATGGGGAAAAAATATCACTTGTTGAGAATCTTCAAACATTGAAACAGATCAATAATTAAGTAATTCTGAAACCAGAAGATTCCTGGGATTTTGTTAAATCCAAGAATAACTTTAGTCTCTTCAAATCTGCTCTTGGAGCACTCAAGGGCACAGGAGAGAAAGATCTACAAAAAAGAACTGTGAAGAGGATTTAAGTCTGTTCTGGGGCTCACTATTAATTATCACTGCCCACTAATGACAGCCTTCTTACCGTATAGCCACAACTTTTCAAATTCTGGAGGTGTCTCAAACAGTGGAAAAACTTCTGATCTTCTGCCGAGGCTAGGTAATGGTATTGTGCCTTGCTGTCTGTGGCATCATGAAAGATTAATACAGCTTGCCTGTGCGGTGCTACAAGATTCCCACCATGGGCAGGAAGAAAAGGCACCCAAGACCTGAGTTAGTCCCCCTATTTGGTGGGACTGAGGTGGTGAAAGAAATCTGGTGGGAGGCAGACCTGGAAATGCCAAATGGAGCTTCTGCATTTTCTAACAGAGCCCTCTTACCTTCTTACTGCTGCATGCCAGGAGCTCCTTTGCAAGGGGGCAGGAAGGTCAGAGCAGCTAGCTTTATTTGTGCTTGGCCTGATGACTTTTAAATGGTAACTATTAAGACTTTTGGTGGAACTCTGTCAGGATACTCTCTATATTGTTAGTGCCTAGCTGCTTAGTGTGAGAGAATAGAAAAGACAGAACTGGACTTCAGTCACCGCACAGTGATAATACCGAGAGACAGTGGACAGAAGTTGCCGTGTGAGGAAATTCTGCTTAAACATACGGATTTTCTTGGCAGCATTGTAATAGGCTGTTGTACCTGCATCTGGACAGGGCCCTGGATAGATAAGGTTTCACTGCACTTGCTCTTTGTGGGCAATTGGATGACCTCCAGAGCACTCTTTCAAATTAAAATAATCTATACTATAAAAGCAAGTACAGACAAGCTTTAAAAACTACTGCTTTGTCTTATGCTTTAATTCATCCAAGATATCTTAGGGCTTATCTTTGTTTTTCTTATAACTGTCAACAATATTCTTGACTTCTGTGCCATTACACTTTCTTAACTATTAAAAGAACTAATCCTCCATTCATCACGTCAGGTTTTTTCCTACCAGCCCTGTGAACCGTGGTACTGTTTGTTCTACACAGGGAGAAATTTGTCTGTTTTATCATGTTTTACCATGTAAGAGAAACTGTAGCTGACAAAATATAGTTGCATTTGTATCAGCCTGCAGACTAAACTGACATCCATGATATTTTTTTATTCTTAGCACTCCATGTGGGGAGATATTTTATTGTCTGATGGTCTCTGAAGTCTGATGTATTTATAGACAATACTAATTTCAGTATTTGTATTCAAAATTGCAATGAAGTAGGACTTCAACTGTAGGTTTAAATTAGTGTCGTTGAACTTTCATTCTTTATCATGTTCAATAAACTTAAAAGTAAGCCTTTATAATAAGCCAGGTTTAAACAATTTCATCGCAACTGCTGTGCCTCTCCTGAGCAAGGCATTAGAAACTTGCATGGGACCATTTGGGTTTTTAAGGTGACAGCAAGCCTCTATGCATGGTTCCGTAATGCAAAGACATTCACCTACTGACACTGGATTCCAGTCTGAACTGAAACAGGTCAGTCTTTCACAAATTCTCACTTACCTGTAACAATTTGAAATACTTTGCCCTTGAGGTCTATTTAATTTTGAAAGGAGCATGGAATGGATGATTTCAGTCATATTTATATCATCTTCTGCACTCAAACTATTTAGATCTGTATTGCTTATGTTAGTAATATCAGATGGCTTTGGAAAGGTTTTGCTGTAAAATGAAAATTAATGGCAGTAGACAGGCAGGGACCTTCTTCTGGCAGTATTTCAGCTGACCTATCTGTGCCATTTCTCCCATAATTCCATTTATGGGGAAAGCTGAATTCCCTCCTGTCCTAAGGCATGCAATCCTGCTCAAGTGTGTCCTCAGCCTGCTCTGCATCTCTGGGTGCTCCAGCATGGAGTTGGCCAGAAGGTATGGGGAATAGATGTAGGCAGCAGCAATGAAGCGCGTTGTAGTTTTAGGCATTCTGAATTTCCCTGATTACAGCAGAATTGGCTGCTGAAGAAGAAATAGTCACTTCTGAGGCTGATACTTCCTTATCACTGAAGGAGGTGCCATTACAGGCACATATAGGAATATTTGATGTGCACTGACCTTCAGATAGAGTAGAACCCGGAAGCGCAGAGTGTGCTGTTGTTACTTTTATCTGTATTTTTGGGAAGCAACCATATAGTTTTCTGTCAGAACAAAGGCAGGGGCTGTGCAGCCATCTGGAATCGCATCTAATTTGTTTCTCGATGTGCCCTTTAGTTTTGAGCTAAACCTTTTCCAGAAAAAGGTCCAAAGGTCAAACCAGACCTTGCATATAGAAAGGTCATCTCATTTCTGTTTCACATCAGGCTGGTTAGTTTGTTTTTGTTTTTTTTTATGGCAGTGCAAACACATTTTTAGTTTAAGAGCTTTTTAGCGAGGATGAACTTAAAAACCAGCCAAACAAAAATAGGTGATTGTTTTGTGTTTGGTTTAGCTTCCTTTTCCTCTTTAGAGAACATCCTGGCCAACCCTTCCTCAAGAGTGCTCTGTTTTCTTCTGATGTACAGTGTGTGTATGGCGAGGCTCTTGATGAGAAGACCCCTGTAAATGCCTGTCTTCAATGGAGATGAATATCTATTAACCCACTAGCTTTATGTATCCAATATAAACAAAAATGTAATTTATGAAAGAGAACTGAATCTTTAAAATTATGTTTATTTTAGATGCCTACTGGTCTGGCTTCAGGTTAGCACCTATAGCATATGAACTTCTTTTAAGCCCTTAGGCTCACAAAGGTATGGCCATGATCACAGCAGGATTGTATCCCTTCTAGATAAGAAGGGAAGAAATAATTTAATGTCCCTCCGTCCATCCCTGCAGATGCAAGCAGAATCTTAGTAACTGCCAAAATACCTCTTCTCCCTGAACTGACTGTAATCTAAAGGAAATTTTTTGTAATTTCCTCGGGGATGTCTAATGACTGTGGAGGCAATGATCCTTCAAACTGTAAAATACCTTTAAGCATAGTCTTCTCTGCATCTTGCGTGTTCTGTGTTGAGCAGGTGGCTTGTGAATAATCTTTTCCTTCAGTTTGGACAAAACCACGGTGAAGGCTGAGCTGTTTATAGCCTTGTATATACAACAATAGTAGTATGACTTCTCAGAGTAAATTGCAAAGTTCTTAATAATAAAACTCTCACCACATCTACTTAACCCTGGCATTGTATTAGTGTTGCCAGAACTAAGATTAGTCAGTTCTAGTTCACTTTCCATTCATGGTAAAAAATAAACTGCAGGTGAGCTGTCTCCTTTGCGATGACCACCCTTCCCACTGTGCCTACCCTTCTGGGCTAACTGGGTGTGCTCCTCACGCTGCTGGAGCACTGGGTGCGGGTTCCCCTCTGCATGTTGGGCATGTGCCTGCATATCCAACCATGGCCACAGTTCCATGGTTATTCATCCATCTGATTTAAGAGCAACATTTCCCAAAGGTTTAAAGAGCATATTCATATAACTGTAAATTTAGTGCATAAGTTACGGTGTTTGGGGTCTATTTTTCACCTTCAATTTCCAGCGGTTATTAGTTAAATTTGCTGATGTGTTGATACATTGTGTGGATACCTGGCCTTTACTCTGTGCTGATTTTAATATTCTCTCATATTTCCTCTGCATTATGAATTTGTCATCTGTCCTTTTAATCTTTTCACAGTGAAACCCTTTGAAAATCCTTTATGGTCATTGCTTTTGCTAACTGTGCTGTTTCTCTTTCTCCTTAGAAAGTAAGCTGGTATTAGTGCAGCTGAAACATAGTTGTAAAGGGTATGTTCTGCTCTCAATCACTATCAAAGTAGTCTCAAATATACCCTGGAATATTAGACTAATCACTTAGATGTTTTCTTTATTCCTATCAGATGGCCAGGTTAGTGCATATAAATGTGGGATCTGTTTACATCTGGATCTTCTGTGTTCTGCCAAGTCATATACTACAAATCACTTTGTCCTGACAGCTGGATTAAATGTGCTTTGACTTGAGGTATTATGGCCTGGCTTGCTGTGTTTTCACAGCCACAGACCTAAAGAAGGACTGCAAAGAATCTGCTGCTTCCCTTGTGTGAAGCTTGCAGATCAAGCCAGGCTGGGACGACAAGTCACTGAAAGAATACTTGGTTTTGGCTAGTGCTAACTTTTGGCTTGCTAGTTCAACCCTATCAACAGGCTTGTGCAAACACTGTCACTTATGTGGGTACAACAGAAAGGTGAGTGGACCCCAAAATATTGTTCTACCATGATAGCCAAATGCTTAATCTTTTACTTGGTTGTGGACTGTAGATTATAAAGACAGCAGTAAGATCATTCCTGAAGCGTATTTCTTGAAGCTGACTGTAGTCATCTTGCTCTGTACACAGATGGGCTTGGGCCATGAGCAAGGATTTGGTGCCCCCTGCTTAAAATGCAAGGACAAGTGTGAAGGATTTGAGCTTCATTTCTGGAGGTAAGTGACACCAGATGTCTCCTAAGCTTTGACTCAGCACTACAGATCTTGGCACATCTATGCAAATGTGTAAGTAACTGCTCTTGTTCTCTCTCTCAATTAATCTGTTCAGATGCTTTAAAGCTGTGTCTAGGTTCAGGGCCAGGGCTTCTCAGCTGCATTATAAGAGTGTTTAAGTATGTAATCACTCGGGAGCATACATTTCATCTGCGCTGAAATTAATGGTAGTGCTTCTGCTGAAGCATTTGCTTTAGCTTAATAAACAGTTGAAGTAGGTTTGTTAAAACATCTCTGTCCTTACAGTAAGAGAGCTGACAGGGAAGAAGTGTGCTTTATTTCAGTAATAAAATGCATTCTGAGCTCCTGATGAAATAAGTAAGTTTTGATCTGAGATTCTGGGCAAAATTCTTATCTGTGTTGAAACTTTGTACACCTCTGCGAATGACTTGGGGAGATGGGGTGAAGAGGCGTCATAATTCAAGTAAGTTGGATAGTACTTGCCCTTGGACGATGCACTGTTCCTAAACCAACACCAGTTGGTAATAGTGGGACTAAATACTCTGCTGTGTTTGTTCTATGTCATTACTTCTGTAGAAACTTTGTATTCTATTAAGACCTTCCTTGTTTTAGTAAAACAAGATGTATATATGTTATACAGTAATACATACAGCTAGCTAGCCCTGTTCACTGATTATACTTTAAGATGTATAAGATGTATACTGTAAGATGTATACTGAAGGTGTGCTTTAAGATGCAGCTTAGTGGATTCCCATTCTTTTTTTTTAAAAAAGAAAGAATTCCTCTCATAGGGAACAGCTTGGAAGAGGACATAAGAATAAATAAATGATTGTTAATACTCTAGCATGTGCTAGCAATGAAAATGATTCTATTTCACCAGTGCTATTTAGGTACAGTCATAACTGTATCTGCAGTAGGGTTTTATTTACGGGGTTTTGTGGGTTTTTTTTATGGTAGTTTTCACATTCTACTGGCAACAGGTGCAGGACCATACCTAGGAGATTTTACATCTTAGCCCAAGTATTTGACTGCATCTGTGACTCAGTTTAGAAAATAAACAGGCAAACAGTCTACAGCAAAGTCTTCTGTAAGTTGATAAGGGTATAGCTTCTTGGTTATGTATCTGTAATATGGAGGTACAGAAACAGCTTACAAATAACAGCATGAGGCAAGAAGTGCTAACACACTTTAGAAGCATGATCATCTAAAGATAAAAGGACTCATTAATTTATGGAAAGATTCTTTTTCAGTATGCATTCAGTCACTGAGGGGACTCATGTAGAGGTACTAGTAAAAAAAAACAACACAGTTAATGTGTGTAGGTATTTCAGTAAAATGGAATTAAAAGAGCACAGGAGTAAATAGTATTTGTATTAGTAAATGTGGCACATACCTCAGAAACCGTTGAAAAGTTAGCCATTGAGGCAGTTCAAGAATGGGTTAGAAAACAGCTGCTTCTCTAGCAGAGCTGCTTCTGGGGAGAGTAAGGGTGTGAATCTGAAGTCTGAAATCTGTTTTGTATAAACCATTTTAAAAGCAAATATGTATTAATGTGCTTTGCTTGATAGAGAGATTTTGGAGAATCTACAACTTGAAGGGGTGGATCCCATCTGTTTACTAAGTCATTAGCCTTAAATTTGAAACTCTATTTTAATTAGAAGCAAACTATAGTACAAGTGGGCAGGGTGTTGTCTTTAAACCCTGAATTATCAAAATCAGTTAAAGTTGAGTCATCAATTTCACTATTGCTAATCTGTGAAAGGTAAGTGTTGAAAGAGAGATTGTAGTTAGAGAAACTATTGTACATTATGGGGAAGATTAACTGGTGAGTTGACCCCAGCCGGCAGCCAGGCACCCACAAAGCTGTTTGTTCCCTGTCCCCTCAAAGCATGGTGGAGGAGAGGAAAGGAAGAACAAAAATGAGAAAACTCACGGATCAAAATGAAGTCGGTTCTATAGGAAGGATAGGGAGCAAGTGATGCAAAGGCAATAATTCACGACCTCCCACCAGCAGATCGATGACTGGCCAGTCTTCATGCACTGTCTAATCTGGAAATGAGAAACCCTGCCCTTCATCCTCTACCCCTGTATTATTGCTAGAGCATGACATCAGATAATGCGGAGTACCCCTCTGGCCGAGTTGAGCCAGCTGTGCCCTGTCCCAGCTTCTTGACCACCCCCAGTTTACTTGCTGAAGCAGTGCCAGCATCAAAAAAAGAGGCAGCCTTGACACTGTGCCAGAAGTGCTCAGTAATAGCAAGTGCCATCAATGCAGTTTCAGCCACAAATTCAGGTGGACGCAGTACAGCGAGGCAGCAGTTGTGTTTGCAGGCTGTGGTCTTGAAGGTGACACTGCCCTCTCCTGGCGGGAGCTAAGGAGCTTCAGCAGGTCACATGATTCTTGGTTTGATACGTAGCAACTCTACTGTACCTCAAAGAGCTAAGATGTTATTTGTTTATTTCCGTAGGAAGGAGCTTCAGTTCTGCCTTTGGAGAGTTAGACTGGAAAATGCACGTGGGGAAAGAAAATCAAGCATACCTATTTAGTAGCAGGGTTTTACATGGAGTTGCTGCACTGTTCTTTATACTGGGAGTGTTTGGAAAATACCTCTTCTGGGCCAACAAGTATGCTTTAAGCACTTCGTGCTATGATTCTTGGCACAGTGTGTGGAATGGTTATATAGGTGCAGAACTGTTAATTTAGGCTAGGATAGAAATGGTGGTAAACAAGGCCCTTAGCAAAATTTATTCCTAAATTTTGAAGCTCTGAAAGCTGCAGTGTTGCGAGCTGAACACAAAATGAATACAGCAACAGCTGCGGTCTACAGTAGCAGCTGCTGAGTGATTACCTGCCTTATCTCCTTTCAGACTGCTTGATAGCCTAGAATTAGCAAGGCAGGCTGGCTGTAACAGTCTGTTCCTCCAATACATGTTTGTTCTTTGGATACGTGTTTCCCACTAGAGGGAGGTGTGGGGCAGGAGTCAAAAGCTGCTAAAAGCAGGAGGAAAGATTCTGATTTATCTTTGTCATGCATATACTGGAAAGCAATAATTCTCTGATGTGGGTGCCAAGATATTAAAAAGCTTCTGGAGGCAAGAATCTTGGGCTTGGGAATGATTTATCAGCATCTGGCTTCTCTGCACAAATACAACCTCCAGGCAGGGAGAGTTTGAAGTTGGCTTTAGTATTTTCTAATAATACAACTGACAGGCAAGTACCGAGGCACAGTTCAAAGTATTTGCAATTACCATAGCTGTATGAATAGAAAGAAAAAGTAATAGAAGGAATCATATAAAGAGGTTAGTCTTTCTGTGTGAGACAAAAGCCTCAGGACTTACCAGGGATTTGTTGAGGGCTTCTCTTTGCTTACAGCTGCCACCTCCTGTCACTAGGAGCCACTGCAAAGCCAGAGTAGGAAGGGTCATGATCCAAATTAATTTTCCTCTCCATAGAACAAAATGTAAAAAAGCAAGAGTAGTAGTTGACGTTTTGGAGAAGGAACTTGAAGTCTTTGATACCTGTTTTCAGTAGATGTCCAAGACAAAGGAATTTACCAACCTGGAAGAGAAAGTAGAACCAGTTTACCTTCTTCCTTTTTCTACCCACCCAAGGCCTGGAAGCAAAGTACAGTCTACTAATTCTGTGATATGCAACTTTTAATTCCACAAATTTTGAAGCTTCCTCCTTATCTTCCATGTTTTCAATGGGAAAAAAATTGCCTAATTGATCAGATTTGACTGGAGGAAAATTTCTCTCCCCTGCTGAAGTCCTGAGAGCTCTAAACACAGAAGCAGGGTCTCTAATACCTCTTTCAGTAGGTGTCTTGCTGAATGTCCTCAAGTGAAGGGAAAATCTTTTTGACAATGCAGATGGAGAGAAGAATAAATTCTCACTGCCTGTCTTCTTGATAGAGCCAAAGGAGATAGTTCCGTCCATACATATACTTGTGTTTATATACACACAGATGTGTGTATATATGTGTGTGTGTGAGTAATAGCAACTGATGCTCCTGGCACATGTAGAGTGTTTCAAGCATAAGTTATCAGACAGACTTGTGAAGTGTAAATGTGAGGTAATGAGACAGGGTCACTTCAGTAAGATAGCTGTATTGCAGTCAAAGAAATGGTGAGCTGATCTATTCTAAGCAGAAGTAATTGGCCATATCCCTTCAGCAGAAAGGACAATGACTAATGAACAAGACTCTGATGTGGAAGCTTAGTGGAAGAACATATGACTAAATTGCAAAAGGTACTATGTAGGAAGAGTTGTGTGTGTTTAAATATCAAGTGGGTATGTTTTAGGGTTGGAAATTAGTCAGGAAAAGGGATTGTAAATCAGGACAGGAAACATTTTTTGGCTGTTAGCAAGGTACAGACATCTTCATGTGGCTGAGATCCAGGGGAGCCTTGGGGGGGAGCAGTGGAAAGGACAACAGCTTAGCGAATTGTTACTGAGATACGCTGACACCAGTGGTGACTCAGCTTTCTGCACATTATTTCTGGATTTTTTTTCTCCTGCATTTGGAGATTTAATGATCCACAACCTCCAATGCCAGGGCCACGACACTTGCAGTTTTGTAACATGGTCCCTGTAACAGCTTCTTGCAAGGTCTATGTAGGCAAATCATGAAAGAGCAAGGAGATAACATCAAACTGAAATGTACACACTCAAATTCTTATTTAAGTAAGTTTGGAGTGGGGGGAGAGTAGCGATATCTCATTCTTTTCAATGCAATTATAAAGAACAGTAGTTCCATGCCAGCTTTCACAGTGGGACCCAGGAAGGACCTGAGGACAAATTGTATGCTTGTACTCTGTTGCAGCTATGTGTTTATCTGTTAATCAGGGCAACAAAAAAAATCTCTCACAGCCACTGAAATTAGTGAAAAATGTTAAGCCTTCAGTGAGACTGAGGATGATAAAAGCAAGTGCATCAGAGTGTTTTCCTAGTTGGAAACAGAAAAGGGATCTCAAAGCTGCTCTGCATTTGGAGAGAATACTAGTAGAAAATAGATAAGCCATTTCATGATGTAGCATAAGCAAAACCAAGGTGCCTTGTGGCTTTTCCAGCACGTGTGAAAGTCTTGGAAAGAATTCCAGCACAGCTTATCGTGGGTAGTCTAGTCTTAGCAGGCTGTCAATGCTGCTTCAATGCAGTTGGATTCTGTACAGGGTGAGGAGAGCTGCACAAGCTGTCATGCTGCTCTTGACCACAACATGAATTGTGCATACTGAGAACTGGTTTGCAAGCAGAGCAGTTCTGGACAGCGACTATACTTTGCTTGCATGAGTCTGAGCAGTTTACCTGAGCTTGTTGACCCATATTATTAGATTACATCCTGTCAAGAGACAATACTATTGCTAAAAAATTAAACTGAAAAAAATGATGAAAATATCTAGTAAGTTATTGCTCAAATGAACTGTTAGAATTCAAGATGCATGTGTGCTATGAGGCATGTAGCTGCATGATAGTCATCATAGAACTGCGTGATGACTGTGATATAATAATGAACTAAACCTGCAAAAATAAAGTCTGTTTCTGTTGCCTCATTTTAAATCTCAAAGAAGACATCATGGAGAGCTGTTAACAAGGTATAATCCTATGTGTACCTTAAAAGGTAAGCAGAGTGAGTATAAATTGATTTATTACCGTATTAAATAGTCTCTTAAGTATTAGCTAGGTAAAGGATTCATCTAGACTAATGTTGAAGATTTAGCAAAATTTGATGTTGTAATAGCTTGAGATGCATAGTGCAGCATTTAGGCTTAAGGGGCAATGTTAGCTCATGATTGAATGTTTTGGTAAACTGTGAGATTGCAGAGTGCTTGGTGTTTACTGAGTATCCAGATCCAGTATGAGCTTTGAAATTCTATGTCTTTCCTGTCGCGGAAATGAGTTGGAAGTCATGCAAGCTGTCAGGCAGCACACGCTTCAGTTACTGAGCTCTTTAGGTTCGTGTGTCGCAAAGCAGAGTCTGTTCTGCCTAACGTTCTTATTTTGTTTGTTATTGTAGAGTGGCTTATATCTATAGCAGAGTTAGCTGTTTTTGTTTGGGGTTGGCTTCATAACTTAGCAACCATAAGTTATAGTAACCTGTATAATCACATGACCAGAGCAGCATCCATCACACACACTGAAATGATAGTATCCCACAGTGTGCACACTACATATGTATACCAGTTTATCTTTGGGGCTGGCTGTGTACTGATTTCATGGTCAGGTATGTGCAGGTTCTCTGTTCTTCCTTTACCATCACTTAATTTGCCTGGTATAGTCACAGCTTCTATTTGTCATGTACTCGTTAGGTGTCTTAAGGTATGTGTTTTGCCTTCAAGGCTTTAGAAAGCAAGAGGTAGAACAATGTTAGAGTTCAATGGGCTTTGGCAAGCGGGGTTGAGAAGCAGTTTATAGGTAGGTTTGTTATTTCTTGTGTGAAGGATAAATAATGGGATAAAATATTATTCATTCCTCTTCAAACTCTAGAGATCCTGAAGGTTGATCTGTTTTGTTAGGCTATAATAACAACCTTCAGTTATATCCAGGTTCACTAATTTGCATGTACTGTGTTTGACTGCTTTGAACTGAAGTTCTGGGGAAGCCATTAAGAAATAGTAAACTAGCTTGTCTAATCCAACTTTCTGTTTATTATATGTGAATTGTTAAATTATGCTTAAGGTAATAAATTGCCATCTAATATCCTTTATTCAAATGAGTTCAAATGTGTTGTATATGAAGAATACCATTTATATCTAAGTAAGTAAAGCCTTCTACCTTTTAAGGATATTATCTGTGAGAATTCCTTCTACAGTGTGTGCCAGAGGAGCTCTGACTTGGTTCAGAGCTGTTTGAAAGGCTTTGTCCAGATAAGCCTTCCATTTTTTTCATCTTCTTTATTAAATGCTGACTTTGAATAGATCTTGGTGCAATTGCACTATATATATGGCTGTATGTATTTTTTTTCCTTTCTAGGAAATATTTGTTTCTACTTGATAGCAACCCTGTGGTAACCAATTATCATGCATACAGTGAATATGAAGAAAATAAGTGTGTGTAACTGAGCATATAAAGAGAATCTGAAAGAAAAAAAAAGTCCAAATAAGTGATTGCTGGGGGAGGTGGTGTCATATTGACCCATTTAAGTTAACTCATGGGTGACTAACCATACTAAATCTGGTAGGCAGGTGATAACAGACATGTACATGTGTGATCAGTACTGAGATATAACTGAAGGAATGGTATAGCATCATGTTCAAAATGCATTAGCATAGCTGACTGATAAATATCTGATTGCAGTCCCTGTGAACAAAGATGTAAATAATAGATCAGGAGAAATAAGGAGTATCTTGAAGATGTGTTTGACACATTGCAGAGTAACTTGTATGTTCTCTAATGAAAGCATTGAAGACAAGGCTTTGGATTCCCAGTGATGTTTACTACACCTGCAGCCGGGGTCAGATGTAATTTTCAGCTGAGACTGTAACCTTGTTGCTGTTTCCATAAATTTCAGGAAAATATGCCGCAACTGCAAATGTGGCCAGGAAGAGCATGATGTCCTCACGAGCAACGAGGAAGATCGGAAAGTGGGGAAACTCTTTGAAGATACAAAGTACACGACCCTTATTGCAAAGCTGAAGAGCGATGGCATTCCCATGTACAAACGCAATGTAATGATACTGACTAACCCAGTGCCAGCCAAGAAGAACATATCCATCAATACTGTGACTTACGAGTGGGCTCCTCCTGTTCAGAATCAGACTCTTGTAAGTCAGAGTCACTACTTCATATTCAAGGCAGGAGTTGATGGGAGATAAAAAGAAGTAGAGCCTACTGGAAGGATAAGTTTGCCATTTGTAATTGTCTTCCTTGCAGATAGGATTAAGTGTTATCTATTAAGCCCCTAGAGCCCAGTTTCTCTAACCTGTTTGTTTGGGGCTTTTGTTTGTTTGTTTTAGTAAAGTTGAAAAATTTGCATGGAGTTTGGGCTTAAAAGAAGAAACAAGGGGAAGGGGGGGAGGAGGAACACACCACCCAACAAACTAACTGCACAACAATTTATGTCATTGTTTAAAGCAAAGGGAAACACTCGGTCTTGCGTATAGCTTTTACTGTATATGGTAAGAGCAAGATCAGTGCTGACATCTAAGAGATCAACTGTCTTCCAGTATGTTTTCAGCTGAAGTAGATGAGATGGTAGATAGCCTTCTGAGGATTTTGCTTCACTTTTCAAACTTTGATTGCTATTTTACTGTACTACAGTTTTGTGTGTTCCATGCTGGAATTACATTATCTCTGACCTACGCCTCAAAATATCATTTTTCAGTGAATTAACCAAACTTTGTTCATCTAAATCAATGGTTACTTTAAAATTCAAAGTGGTAACTGAATGTTGTCTTGTCCTTGCTTTACTAAAACTGAGCTTTTTTCTTTATTTAAGTAAAATTATTTCTTCAATGGGCTGTGTGCCCCAGGCAGACTATTTCAGCTCCACTTTTTTTAAAGCTACCCTCATGATTGGTAGCTTTAGATTGCCTCTTTGAAGAGGCAAGGTGCTGTGTAAATGCTATTTATTCTGAGAAGTAATAGCTCTGTTCTTCATGTTGTAAAATGCTTAAAAGAAAGCCTCTTACTCTGGGAAGAAGCCAGTTAATGCATCTGCTGTATTTTATCTTCATCTACTGTGTTTCAGGAGCTTAATGTTTATGGAAAGAACCTTGTTTTTGACAAATTTGACTGTCGCTAACAACAGTAGAGATTTTAGTCACATGTTTGCCTAAAAGGATGGGTATGTAGTTGAAGTGGCATCTTAATATCTAATTCCTTCTGGTTCAGGCTAGACAGTATATGCAGATGCTACCAAAGGAGAAGCAGCCTGTTGCTGGCTCAGAAGGCGCGCAGTACAGGAAGAAGCAGTTGGCTAAGCAGCTGCCTGCTCATGATCAGGATCCTTCAAAATGCCATGAGCTCTCCCCCAGTGAAGTTAAACAGATGGAACAGTTTGTGAAGAAATACAAAAATGAGGCACTCGGTGTAGGAGATGTTAAGCTTCCTGGTGAGGTGGAAACAAGAGCTGCTGACAAGAGCAATTTGAACAATGGTGACAGAGGTACCTCAGCTGCTGTAGGAGCAATGGAGGAGAAGTCCCCAGATCAGAAGACATCTCAGTATGTAAGTATAAAATAGGAAAGATAAAACAAGAAGGTATACTACTATCACAGTGCTTTTCCTGGTCATTTAAGTCTAATTAACTTGTTTGTGAATTTAGAATATGGAAAATCTGGGGAGGGAAAGAAGGAACTGGAAATCTTGAATGCCTGCAGAGAATCCTGGTCTTTAACTGTATTTAGTATATTGCAGAAAATAACTTCCTAGATGACCTTTTCATCTTTGTCGCAAAAACATGCGTGCTTGGAGATGTAGTATAGCAGGGTGTTTTTTGCAGAATAATAATCAAGAAACTTAGTTAGTCTTACAGACTAATGGCTATGCTTTCCTCCTCTTAAAAAGTTTAGTTTAATTTTAGAAGCTTGTTTTCTCCTCTTACTTGGAAGAGCACCAAAATTACCCACTTGACAAATCGTTTAAACTTAAACAAAACTAAGAAGTAATATAAAGTAACACCTTTCCATGTCCAACAAGCCAAGCCATACATCTGTTTCAACTAGCTGCTTTTTCATATTCACTTTATATTCTTATCTATGTTTGTCTTTGGCATCTGATTTCTGCCTTGTAATAGCTAAACAAAAAATAAGATATGTAAAATTATCCAGTCTTCATTGATATTTCTAAAACTATAGCCTTAAAGCATTTCTGGCATAACTTGCTAACTTCTGTAGTGCATGTCTCAGCTACCAATTACAAATAGAAAATAGATGTAGGATTACTGAAGTGACATTATATTAGTTTAGTGAAGGTAGACCTTCAATTTAGAGTGGCAAAAGCTCCTATAACTTGATTTCCAGGAATGTTGCTATTATACATATGAAAAATTATTTGTCTCCAGGTTACTCAGAAAATGAATGTAGAAGTTTTAGACTGAGATAAAAATTTGCTTGTTAACATGGTTGTAGAATAGGGTATCCATTGTTATTGGAGGCTGTGGAGTGCTGGTTTTTGGTACCTTTCTTTTTTGGTGGTGTGTGAGTTTTGGGGGTTTGTTGTTTTGGTTTTTTTTTATGACACAGTGTATTCTGGTGTAATTCATATGGGAATATAAAATGCACTTTTAAGTTTTAGCTTTGAACATGCTTATTTACCTCAATCAGTGATATGCTGTGCCATTTGGTTATCAGTAGTTACTTTCTAAAATTAGTTACTCTGGCTTTGCTGCTACCTTGTCATGGAGATTCTAAGATACTAAATAGTTACTTTATCCCGGCTTGATTATGTTGCTGTCATTTTATCTTAATGCAGTCTCTCTTGCTGGATCACTTAGTTTCACCACAGCAATTCTTCATTTACCTCCTTTAGAAAGTCCTACAGAAATTCCTTGCACTGTACCCTGCTGACCAGCTGTCTTGGACTACCTCAAGTCAAGAGCAGGAGGCATTCTGTCCTCTTGAGTAATCATTTCAAAATGTGCTTCACTTCTAAGTTACACCTATTTATCACTTCCAGACTTTTCTTATTCAAGCACTTGAGTATACGTCCTACTTTTTAGGCCAGGCATATCTCATCACTGTGATGAATTGGAGGCTTAGAAGTGTTTAATAGTGCAAGTGAACATCTGAGTTTATCTGTTGTTAGCTTTGAGTTTATGTTGGGCAAAATCAGGATTTAGGTATGTTAAAGAATTTTGTTTGATTTCTGCAATGTGACTTAGTCTCAGCTATGTGCTGTAGCATTATCTCAACTTTTTTTTTTAAACAGTTCAAAATAAACCAATATGGAGAAAAGCTCTTAAATATCTTGCAGAATAATTGCCATTCTTGTCTACACTTTTTTCTATCCATTAGTTCTGCATCTTTGTTCTCCAGATTTTCTTGTACATTGCCTTTTAGACTGAGTCTGAAACATGTATTCCTGTAGCTGTGATAAACGATCTCTTGAAAAAAAATATTTTTTGCTATAGGAATAGATTGCTATTCTTTTAAACCTATTTTTAAAAACAAACAACCCCCCACCACAAACAACCAGGTCTCCACTAGCAATAATTGCTGCTGTGTTTAAAACAAACACAAACCTATTTCACCATGACTGAAAGCTGAATAACAAATTTACATTCAGCATAGTTGCTTCTTATAAAGAAGCAAAGCTCTTTATACACCTTTTATCCACCAAGGCTGAGGGTATTGCAAATGGTAAGTAAATGAATCAACTTGCCCTCATCTGGGTCTGTACAACTACTAAGCCTCCCAGCCAACTCCTCGTGGAGTGTGAGGTTGAAGTTACAAAGAGAAACAAAAAGCTTTATGTACATATATATTTTCATTTTCCCTTTCATTAGTTCCCCTTTCATCTTGTTCCAAGATGTTCTTCCTCCCCTTTTGATGTCTTTGTGTGTATATTTCGAAAGTGCTTGTCTGAAACGAGTGTGGGGATCTGATCAATACCCTTCTCAGCTGAGAACCTTTATATGTTTTTGGTTTTGTGGTGTGGTTTTTGGTTTTGGTTTTTGGTGTTTTTTTTTTCTACGTATGCACGCAATTAAAACAGCTGTTTATGCTGGGCTTGAAGTGATGTGAATCATAGAGAGAACCTTCCCAGGATGTTCAACTGAGCCCACAGACCAACTGGAGTTCAGGAGATACCAAATTGGTGATTAAACTGTAAAGAATTTTTTTTTCACCTGTGTTATTTGACTTGATGACAGGACCCTCTCTGTAAGCAGGAGTAGGGCAGAAGATTTACTGTGGACTTTTTGGAACTATTTGTATTGTAGCTGTGTTCATGAACTTTTATAGTCTCTTTTCCCTACTCGCTGTTCCCATCCCAAGATCGTTACTCGCAGACTGTTGGATAACAGCCATGAGTGACTAGCATCCCTAGAACACAGCTTTACACAGAATGAGTTTGCAATACTCACAGTACTTTTTGTCTCGCCAGTGATGCAGTTACGTTTTGATCTTCTTACGCCCAGCTGTTCTCTTGTCATGTGTTCTAGTCATAATCTAGTTGGTTACCTTTGGAGACTCCTTATTATTCTCTCCTTGCTCTTGAGTCTGTAAGGCTTATAGCACATAACATGAATTTTAATTGCCTGGGCTTTTTTTAGAAATGAACTGTACTTGCAGAAACATGAGTTTGGGGAACTACAGTAATCCATTTGAGAAGCACTAGTGCTGTGTCAATAAAATGTGTGTCATCTTGTATTGCTTAGACAAACCTGTAATGTGGCATCATGCCACACTACCATCTGATCGGGGGGCTAAATTCATCAATTTCAGCCTGGGAAGGTGGAATTATTAAACATGCTTGTAATATATAACTGCTGTAATTGTATCTCTTCAAAATTTCTTTCCAGTCCTGCTATCGCTGCAAACTGATCATGAAAGAAGGTGACCCAGCTGTCTACGCAGAACGTGCTGGATATGACAAATTGTGGCACCCAGCTTGTTTTGTCTGTTGCACCTGCAGTGAACTTCTAGTAGACATGATTTATTTCTGGAAGAATGGTAATCTGTACTGCGGAAGACATTATTGTGATAGTGAAAAACCTCGCTGTGCTGGATGTGATGAGGTAGGAAATATCCTAGTCCTTTGTTTTAGCATATGTTTGCTCCCCTGAGAACTATGATTTCTAGTAAAATATTTCAGTGTACGGAGATCATGTGCCTTTACCAGTTTTAGCCGATTGTACCTGCAAGGAACTGAAACTGATATAGACATGCCACATTCAGGAAGACCCAGTTTATTTTGGCTTTCATGCAGATTTTATGTGGCCCAAAGTGACATAGAAGGTAATATGTAAGTGCAAATTCTTCTGTGCTCTGTTATGCAGTTTTTGCCTCATAAAGGGCACTAGGGGGAGCATTTTACCAAATTACACCGTGTACAGCATACACAGAACAGGCTGCCTGGTGTCTTTGGCATCTCTTGGCTCTCAGTAAATGAAACACAGCCTTTTGGGAAACTGTCAAACAAGTGAATGCTTTTGGTTTTGTTATTGAAATAATTTGAGATGGTGGAATTTCCAGGAGTTCCCTGGAAATTATGAAACATCCCGAGAGTAGCTTTATTAAAGGAATACCATTCAAATGCATGCATTAATACTTGTTTATATCTTCCTCATAGCTAATATTCAGCAATGAATATACACAAGCAGAAGGTCAGAACTGGCATCTGAAACACTTCTGCTGTTTTGATTGTGATTGCGTTTTGGCTGGGGAAATCTACGTAATGGTGAATGACAAGCCAGTCTGCAAGCCCTGCTATGTGAAAAACCATGCTGCGGTAAGATCTGTACAGACATGTTGGTGCTGTGAAGGAATAGGAATGTACATCTATGGAGCTTGAAACTTTTACTTGCCCCCAGTGTGGGAGTATCTGAAGAATGTAAATTGAATGCAAATTTAGGCTCAAGCCAATCATCTTTTTCCCCTTTGGAAGAAAAGAAAACAAACAAAAACCTTAAAAGCAGACAAGTGTTGTCAATTCATAAACTTGAACAAAAGCCACTGGCAGGGTGGGTGAGGGGGAGGCTGTTCTGAAAGTACCTTGAACTTCTCTAGCGGTGAAGCAGGATTTTGTAATGGGAGGAGTGAAGTAGGTGAAGGTGAGTAATGCTGCTAAACATTCAGTTTCTTTCGATCGTAGTTCATTGTGACCAGTGGGATTCAACTTCAGCTGGTTTGCTGGAAGCCCATAGTGGCAACTGCAACCTAGGTACTTTGTTTCTTTGTTCTTAGAACTGTCTGAGTTATAAAGGAGTGTGACTCTCAGGGTCAAGCTAGAAGTTTGGGTAAGGATGGCAGCTCTTGATTCCTAGTTATGGGAAGAATTCTGAGATGATGGTCCATTCATATCTACCAATTAACTACCTATTAGTTGGGAGTTCAGTATAATATGCATCTAGACTGTTTATATACTTAATGGAGGGATAATCTATTACCTCTAGCTGTCAGTTAATGATTTTCTAAGGTAGGTATGAGGATTTATCTTTTGGAGAGGCTTTTTTTTTTCTCTTAAAACATTAACTTAAAAATTAACCTCCTTTTAAAACATTGAGATCTAAATGATAATTTTTGACAACCAGATTTTAAAATTAATTATATCTAAGACTTTCTAGGAACCTTTTTTTGTCATTGCTTTACAGCTGCCAGTGCACAGGAAGATTTGTTATCTCTTCAAATGTATGGGTTAATATATGGAAATCTGTGGCATGACAAGTTTTTATCATTATTTGGGCACTGGGAAATCATAACCATGATATAACTGTTCATGTTTAGTCCCAGAAGCAACTAACTTCTTGTGTGCATTTTATTTTTTCTTTATATCCTTAGATGCATTCTGATCAGAAACTCTGCTTTAACAATAAAAGAAAATTGAAATACTTAGTTCAAAGGCTTCTTTTAACACCTGCCTCTCTTCTCCAAAACCACTTAAGAATTCCAGCTTTTATGGGACTCTAAAGAGCATGTGTATGCTTCATTTAGGTATTTTTTTCCTGAACAGATCTGCCAAGGCTGTCATAATGCTATAGATCCAGAAGTTCAGCGTGTGACATACAACAACTTCAACTGGCATGCTACGCAAGAATGCTTCTTGTGTTCCTGTTGCAGCAAGTGCCTAATTGGCCAGAAGTTCATGCCAGTGGAGGGGATGGTCTTTTGCTCTGTGGAATGTAAGAAAAAGATGATGTCATAAGAGAAGACATGCATAGAATCGAGCATTGCTGCGTTCCAAAGGCTTTTGTATTTCTACTGTAAAATATATAGTATCAGGGCATTTAAAGTTATTGAAAGTGTTTAATAGCATTTTCCCAAAGATTTTTCTTTTTGAATGACTAAAACTTGCTATGTAATCTTAATTTCTTAAACATAATAATACTTTCTTTTTTGGAATATTGTTCCTGACTCTTATGTCAAATGACTTTGTATCCCAGAAATGTAAGAAAAAAAATGCTATGAACTATACACACTTTAAGGGAGCTCTTCACCGTGAAGGATCTTTTTGCTTTATCTTGTCTAATGGAAGAAGAAAACGTGAAAATGCTCCAATTTTTCTTGTATTATAAAAGTAACTCTTCCACTTTTGGTTTCACTAATTTATCATTTTCATAGTTTCCCTGCTTTCATCAAGCACTTTAGACAAAATGATCAGCTTTACAACCTCATACAGTTTTGCTTACTAGACTTCAAGTATGCAGGGAGAATGTAGCTTAAAAAAAAAGTTCCCTGCAATTGTTTGCTTGTTGACACATTAGTTCTGAGGGATGGTAACCACTGTCACACCTAGTTTGTAAAGTAACTCTGTACCAGCAGAAAACTGCTGATACATGTTTCTCTTATAACTGTTCATTGAAAAGTTCTTATTTTACAAATATTGGTGTCACTTTACAGATACTGGGCAGAAGGAGAGAAAATATAGGAGGAGGTCTTGCCCAGATTTAAAAAAAAATAGGCAATAAAATCCACCAATGTTAGTGTGTGTCACCCTTATCCTTTCAGAACTGGATTCTGATTTGGTTTTTTTGAATGAATGTTGTTCTTGTAAATTGTGCCTTCTGTCAGAGGGACATGGCTCACAATAACATATGTATTTCCAAGAATGTAATTCTGCAAAAGGATCGTACTTAAGCTTTTGATTTGTAAGTTCTTAGTTCTTAACCAAAGCAAAATGAGTCTTTCAAAGAAGACGTCCAGAACTTGAGTGGAAAAAATCACAGCTGTGTATTAGATTTGTTTACTAGATAAGCCAAATGTGTGGTTCTCTTTAAGAGTTACAGATCTAGGGTGAAACTTGTTAGCTTTGTGCCAAACAGTGAATGGAGAGTCTTTGGCCTAAAGAGGAAAAAAAATGAAATTTTAAAAAATCTATGCAAGTTTTATGTTCAGCTCTTAAGTTTTATGGTGGCTGTATTGTAACACAAATAAAAATTAGTGGTGTTCACTTGAGTTGTCTACTAATTCTGTTCTTGTTGAATCTCCTTTAGGGGTGGTAATGAGGAGGAGAAATGCTTCCAGACTTCTCTAGCTTTGACACTATTTCCAAAAAAACCTTAAGGCATATATTACTATCAAGCGCTTACTGTCTTGTGTAATATTGATGTGCTTAGAGGTGCAGATTAGTGGACCTTGTTCCGAGACATACGACTTCAGAGCTTAATGTGGATTTAATTTTTGTTCACATAAACTATGGCATTAATTATATTTTAACATAGCATGGGAAGTTTTGAATTCACACAGTATAATGTGTATTGTGATCCTTTGAGTACTGCAAAAATAAGACACTTTGTATGTTGTCTGAATTGAGATTTAAACTTCAGGTCCATGTTCTGAAAGCCTCTACAGCTTTTCCCAGGGATACTCAGGATGTACAACAAAGTGTGTATCTTTCATCTCATACCAATGAGGTGGTATTCTTTCCAGAGCTGCAGTATTAAACCAAGGAAAACCAGGATGCCTCAGTAAGAGAAGGTATTTCTGTTTGTTTCCGTTGAAGTGCTCCTTAATCTACAGCAGGACATGCTGCGAGAATGACGTTTGAGGGTTGGTGTAGGGTCTTATTTAATGATTATCTCTAAGGATGGCTTAATAGTGAGTGTTTGGGTTTTACTTGTCTTGAGTGTATCTGTCCTCACCCACTCACTAACATCTATTCTAAAAGATGCAGATGATCTTTATAAAGAACTCTGTGAAAATCGATTGTGCAGCTTTCCCTACCATTCTCCTGCCATCCCATTTAACAGTACTATATCTCTTTAATGTGATTGCTTGCACCAATGGCAGTCTTACTTTAGACTTCAAATCTTGTTCTGTGCAGTTTTGTTTGTTAAACTTCATTGTGTAACTTTTATTTAAAAGGATAAACAGGCACTATCTCAGGACTTACTCATTCTTTCAAGACTTACTTGCTAAGGAAATTTATGTCAAACCAAACATCTTAACAGTTCATCATTTTCTGGGACTGCCTTTTTCTGTGCCTCTTCTGAAGCATGCTGTCTTGCTGTTTTTAGCTAGCTCTCTTTGAGAATCTTCCCTTGCCTTCTTGATCCCTTTTGGCTCTCTTCTGTGGAACCTGATGTATCTAGGTGTTTCTGCTGTGATGTAGCCAAAGCTTAATTTATGTCCATGCAGTAACTGGAAAGGATCATGCCATGGGAAGGTCAAGTGTAATGTGTAGCTGAGGCAAAGGTACTGCTGTGTGACCATAGATCAGAAGATGATTAGGAGTGATAAACAGCTCTTATAATGAGCTAGAAAAGAATTTTTCCTGAAGATAACCCTTTTTGTGTTAGTCAAAAGATAAGTCAACATACTGGAGCTTAAAAACAAGCATTAAGGAGATTTTGTTCTCTCACTGCCATAATGAAAATATTGGCAGTTAAGTGTCGGGGTGTTTTTACTCTTGTACTTTTTGGCTCTTTTATCATGAAGGTCCCTTCAGATCTATTTATCTTACTAAGTTAAGAATAGAAGATGGAAATTTTTTGCGTGTTTCAGTGATAAAAGTACATACTTTGCAGATCAAATCTGAACTTAAAGTATGAAAGTTGAAGTTCTATGCTTAAGAGTAGAGCTTTATTGGTAAAAAGCCTTATAAGCACTCAGTATAACAAGAAACAGCAAGAAGAGGCACTTAGCCAGCTGTAGTTATCATGCCACTGTCAGTGACATTTAACTCTTCAGAAGTTAAACAACAAATGAAGACAAAGATTTACAGCAGAATACAAGATTGGCCTTGTCACTCTCAGCATGTGTGAGGAGGAAAATCCCAAATATTCCTTTGGGATTATAACCTTTTGTTTGTCTTAGCATTGCGTTCTATGTTGTGTTTTATGTGGCTACTTGACAATGTAAGTTGTTATGATTCAGTCTGATGTTTTTAGAGTTGTGCTTTTAGCAACTGGTTGTAAAGAACAAGTAGGGTTATACAGTAGAAAAACTTAACAATAGGGATTAAACAAAAGTGGGGGTTAGTTTAAGCACTAAAGGTGCAGCTGAGAGCACCAAAGAGACCATCTCATCACTGGCCTAATTGAGACATCTGATTTTTATTTTCCATGTGGCAATTAGCAGTCAGCTTTTTCAAAGAACCCCTGCAACTACCAGGTTTCTGTCCACTTCTACTGAAACTTTGAAATTTTCCCAGTGCCCAAAATTTACAGAGAAAGTGCAATACTGTTCAGATTATTAGTTAATTCTGTTTCAGTTAACCTGTTGATAACCTTGGCTGGATCATCTAGGTATGACCTATTGCAGAGCTCAGGTGCCCAGAACACCCATTGGACAAGCATTGCAACACAGCCTCTGTCATGCTCCAAGAGCAAAGAAGGTCTGTAGCACTCTGACCAGGCATGACTCCTGGTGCTTTTCAGGAGATACATGTTTATACATGTGACAAGCTTTTAGCATACTTGGGCTTTTATGGTTTTGGTTTTTGTTTTCTTAACCACTTCATATACTAAAACTTGTGTATGCCATTCCAAATATCAGTGTATTGGAATCATTGAATCAACTAGGTTGGAAAAGAACTTTAAGATAATTAAGTCTAATTCACATCAATATATATTGAGTGCTTTTGTGTGTGGTAGAAAAGGACATGATGGGCCAGTAAAAAATGTTTTGCTAGGCCCCCACAGCTCTTCATGTGTTAGGACTGTAGAGTGCCCTGTTTTATTCTGAACTAACAGGAGCCCAGCCCAGCTGCTGGTATAAGGCCTGCTGCCCACATACACACCATACTCAATTGGGCACAAACAGTTTTTTTCATTATAGCTTTCTGTGTGAAACACAGGGAAGTTACGTTCACCTTCTGTTGTGTCTCTGGATGAGTGAAGCATTTACTTCCAGAAGTGTGAACTCTGGGCTTGGTGTTCTCAAGCATTTCCCTTCCGAATTCTGCCTCACACCTTCTGGAAGAACATCCCAACCACCAAGCTGTAGTGTCACCTATCCAGCAGTGAGCAGGATCACACAGGATTAGATTTGGTGACTTTGATCTTGAGAATAGGTGCTTGCTAATGATATAAAGCTGAAGACTCTCTATATTTACAAAGGCTGTAACTAACTATCCTGTTCATGTATTGAATCTGCTACCCTATTGCTTCAAAGTGCCAAGGCTAAAAAAAGTCTTTAGGCCAGCACCTTCTAAGTCTACTCAATTTATAATATGGTAAATAATAAGTAAATTTAGGTTTTAAGTATAAAGTTTAAAAATATTACTTAATGAAATTAAATGTACTGCCAAAGAGGTCCCAGAATTAGGTGTTAAATAGAAAATAAATCAACAGTCCAGGAGAAGTGGAGAGGAAAACGTTCGGTCAAAGTACCAAAAATAACATGTTGATTATTGCAGTGTCTTTGTTAACAAAATGATGGATGAAATAGCATTAGGGAACAAAAGTCCAAAACAGTGTGAGGCAGAACTAGGTTCAGATTGTAGAGTGCCACGCTGTGTTCACTGCATAAATCACAAATAATGAGCCAGGTATTTTTTACCCTGCTCCCTGGTGACCACCTAGGCAGTACCTACGTCACCGTGCCGCTATCGGGACAGCAATGCTGAGTTTTACAGTTGCTATGAGCAGTCACAACAAAATGTAACAGGTCAGAGTTTCTCCATTGCCTCCCCCCTAACCAAGTGAAAAATGACCCAAATAAGAGGATGTTTCTGCTACAGATTAAGCCCAGCATTGTTCAGGTTTGGCTTCAAGCCTGGCATTGTTGTTGAAAACTTGCACCCAGTTCGTGAGACACTAGTCAAGCTTCAGCTATTTGTAAACTTTTAATTTGTTAAAAAAAAAGTAACATCACAATAAAATATCAAGAGTATTTATTGGTTGCCCCAGATGCGTTGTTTGTGTGAATCAAGACTTGATTCTTATGCTTGCTTATTGAAATAAGTCAGAGAAGCCACATGATGTTCTTGAGTTACCCAGCAGATGCCGTCTGTGCTACACTGAGCAGACATGCTGCACATGCACGGCAAAGCCCTGGGAAGCGTTCAGCACAAATGAAAAAAGGAGGTTTAATCTGATAGAAAAGAGGTGTTCTGAAAGTTACGAGAAAGAAATAAGCTGCAGAGGGGTCTGTAAGCCCCGGTGTGTGTGCAAGAGTGGAAAGCAGTGTGTTCATGGATTTAGAGAGAAGGAGGAGGCACAGGGGCGGTATTTTAGGATGAATATGGGTTGAGTCAAAAAAAAGGGGGAAAAGTGAAACAAGCCATGGGAGATGATGCTGAATCATGGAGGCACTCTGGAGTAATTTTGACTTACTCTGAAAAAGTAGAAAACTTAAGGTGGCAAAGGATGATTGCTCTGAACAAGGAAAGCTGATGATACTGTTTAGTTACTATGGGTAGAAAATAGATCAGAAGCTTAGGGAACAGCCTGCAGTAATCAAGGTTGTGGGATAAGGAGGACATCAAGAGGATGGGTAGTGAGGAAAGGTTTTTCATTAGTAATCTATCCTAATGCTGAATACTTATATCTAAAATCTGATCAGTTACACCTGTATGTTGATTAATAGACATGCCCCATTTAAATACTGAAAGCAAAATGGGGGAGTGTGTGATAATGGTCTATGCTGAAATCTGCTGTCTGAGTTTAGCTTTATGACACTTCCTAGGAAGCAGGAGGAGTCAGATCAGGAGTGGATCACAGGAATAGCAAGAGAAGGCATTAGGAAAACTCAGAATGAATCCATATGTTCCCAAACAAGCAGGACACTAATGCCCATTAAAATTTTCCAAAAGCTATGGGCATCCAGGCCAAATGTTCATACACCGTTAAAAAGCAAAATAACAGCAAAACAATTACTTTTATTTTAACTGTGAATTCAGGGTTTGAGGGCTCTAACATCGCAGAAAGGTTTAAGCTGAGGAGACCTCTTTGAGTCATCAAGTCCAATTCTCTGCTGAAAGCAGGGCAAACTTCATGGCTATATCAAGTTAC